ATTAAAACTTGTGTCTCACACACCAAAAAAAAGGTAAATATGTGAAGTGATGGATGTGTTAATTAACTGGATGATGGGAACTTATTCACAATGTTTACGTATGTCAAATCATTGGGTTGTAGACTTTAATATATTACAATTTTATTTGTCAATTATACCTAATTTTTTTTAAGAAAAGAAATCAATTAGTACCGACAAGGAAAAAATAAAACCGTAATTGGTTGAAAGCACTTTAAAAGCAGCCACTCATATACAAGTAAATGTCACATTATAATTTCTTTAATCCATTCATGAAAAGTTATATGAAAAGGGCAATACTTTGTTAATTCTAAGTAAAGCACGGATGGGAGGATACAGCTCTGTTCTGGGAAGACTGGATTCCGACATTTCTCAGACCATTTACCAGCTGTGGTGTAATAGGAAAGAACAAAGCTGACTCCATATTAGATCTGTTCCTTTGGCTCTAACCCTGTGCTCTGTTTCCTGTGCTTAGTCATGCTGGTTCTGCACCTTTTGTAAAAGAATGTTGCCTATATCCTGAAAAAGGATAGCCCATTCTCAAGGCTCTGATCTTTAAGGGTATAACACTTTGCCATTCACACAGAGACAAAAAGTTGCAGAACAGAGGATAATATTTGTCTTGTTGGAGGTTTACAGGAATATCATGACCTGATCTATCTGGACAGATGCAAGAACAAAGGGTTCTGACACCAAGAAGTTTCCAACAACCAATCACACACCCTCCCCTTTTAAGTATAAAAGGAGCCTGAATTCTGACTTGGGGAAGATGGTTCTCCAGGACATTAGTCTGCCATGTTCTCAGTCTGCCAGCTTTCCGAATAAAGTCGTTATTCCTTGCTCCAACACCTTGTCTCCCAATTTATTGGGCCGTCATGCAGTGAGCAGAATGAGTTTGGACTCAGTAACAGTGGGAGCTTGGGGAAAATCACTTGATCTCCCTGGTCCCTGTGGTTTCTCTGTAAAATGAACCTTAGTCTTATGTTACCCAAGGACCAGAGGCCTCCTTGAGCACTCCAGTTTTCCCTGGTCCCAGTTCTTTCTAAGTAAGAAAAATGTATTCCTTTAAGATCTCTTCTTGGGTTCAAATTCTTATTAATTTAGAGTGTCTTTCCCAGTTTTTCCAGTACTAGACACACATCTTTCAGGACACAACTTGACACATAAGTTGACCAAAAGAATATCTTTTCCATCAGTGCTGCTCTGAGCACAAACAGACCAGCAAAGCAAATGCTGTTTCATGATGACACTCCAACTCATCTTGCTCATTTCTGTGGCAACCATCTCTGCCATCTAGAATCCAGCCAGTCCCAAGAGTCATGGAATGACATTCCTTGCTGGTTACCACTTGTCTCTTTGCTATTTCATAACCAACTTGTAGTTGACATTTGAAAAACTTCTAAGTAACTCGGCTCTTACATGAATAATTAAAGTGAAACTTTATGCTCAAAAATCTCATACACCAGGGTAAGATTTAATATATAGGTGAAAGCAGGTTTCCTGGGTCTATCATAGTATACAGTGATATTCTCACCTGAACCAGGAAAATCGATGTTGTAATGTTACTTCTCAGAGACGTAAGCCTCTATATCCAATAAATCGTGGTGTAAACAAGAAAAGGGCCAGGGGGAGGAAAATGCATGGGACTTGAGTTACAAAAACTTTATTGGAGCCTAGCTGCCATTTACTAGCTGAATTTGTTAATTCCATGGTTTGGGGATCATCACTTAACCTCTCTGGGCTTCAGCGTATTTACTTATGAAGTGGGCGTAATGACACCTGACTCACAATGCAATTTAGGGACTATGTGAGACAACGGGTGAGACAGTGCCCAGCACATTATCTGCCACAGGGGAAGTATTTGTAAATATACTTCCCTTTCACACAGAAACCCAGATGCCCAAAGAATGCAAAAATATTCATTATTACCTGTGATCAGCAGCAAATGATAGTCAAGACATTTCAGAAAGAGAGAGGCAGTTTCAGAAAGTTTTTCATTAATATCATCAGAAGAATTAAAAATATCCACAAAGCACCGAGACAAGAAAAGAAGTCTTCTGATCGTTTTTAGCCCAGGGTGTTGGCATTTCTTTTCATTCCCTCCTCTGGATTGTTGGCTCGTCAAGGGCAGGCGTGGGGCCCCATATCTGCGTCATGCAGAAACCTTGCATATAATGTGTGCTCTGTGAATATCTGTCGAGCTGAATTTATCTTAGAATTCTTCTGTCCATCAAGACTTAAGAGTGTTTTTAACTAATATGGTATTTGGATACCAAACGGTCAACTTCCATGACCCCAGATGGGTCAGGGGACCAGACACTGCACAAGAAAAACACTGGACATCTGTGAATTCCAACTAAGAAATTTGTGTTTCTTGGTCCTGTCAAAATAACCTTGTGTATAAATAGAAAAAAGGCTAGTGTTCTGAAGGCATGCTGGAGGTCTCCCATTTGGTCTCTCTCTAGCTCACGGTGAGCCCTCTACTCGCTGGGGACAAAAAGACTGGAACTAATTTATTACAGGATTCTGAGGTACTAACCATTTTAAAGAATCCTGAAACCCATGTCTTCCCCTTGGCCTTTCAAGCACCCACTTCCACAGGGAAGAGCTTCTGCCCTCAGACAAACAAGTACCCTTTCTTTTTCAAGTATCATCAAAACACATATTAATGAAAATTTGATGATGTTTGAAGATCATTCATTGATTCAATATAGATCTGAGTAACTACCACACGCCAGGCAATATTCTAGATGTTGAGGATTACAGCAGCATGAACAAACCCGCACGCACACACACCATGCCCTCTCACAGTGTACATTCTAGCAGGGCATGAACAAAGAGCAAAGAAGTTAAATATGTAGTAAATCTGATGGTGAGAAGTGCTTAGAGAAAAAGAAAGAAGGACCAGGGAAGTGAACTCCTGTAAATGGCAAAACACAGCAAGAAATGACACAAACACTGAACCTCTATACTTACATATACAGACACGATACCTATTCTATACAACATGTATAGAATATTCTATTTATATAATTTATTACATACACACATGTGTATATATATGAATAGATAGTACTCTATACTATATATATAAAGCCCCATAGTGATTATTATAATAATCATCATTATTATTTTCATTAAAATCTTTCCAGGATATGGAACAACTAAGCTTAGAGACAAAGGAAAAGCAGAGCTGGACTAACGACACTAACTAACACTTTCTACTGAGCTCCCCTGCAACGCCGTGGTGTCACATTCACCTTCGCAAGACTAAGGAGATTCCTTCCCCTTTTAATCAGTAAGAATTGTTGAAAAACCAGCGCAGTACAGTCCTCAGCCTGAAGTCACAAAGCTAGTGGCAGAGTGGGATATGGCTCCAGGCCCCAGTTTCTTGATACTAAATTTCCCTTCACCCCAAGCATAATAATACTGTTATTTGACAGACGTAGATAAACATCTCCAAGAAATACAAGAAATTCCCTATTTTTCATCCCTTAATTTCATCAAGAAATTTCCCTATTTCATCCCCTATTTCATTTTTCAGATTCAGCTATTTTGGATGCTCCATTTAGGGAGAGAGCTAAACTGAATCCTATCACTTTGCTCTCAATTACGGTAAAGTACATGTACATCTTTCTGGGGTGACAGTGTATAGGATGCCAGAGCTTTGACTTCTTCCTTAAGTCTGTCTGTTTAAAAACAAAGACAAGGCTGTCGTAATTTATGAAGACAAACCTAAAGAGTGAATAAACAGTGAGCTTCAGAGAAAAGAAATATAGGGCTGATTAGAGTAAGGTTATGGGTAAAGATCTGGGCAGTGTGGACTAGAAGCCAAGACTTTGTCCTCGGCTCCCTGGGCCCCCTACCTCCTGGACTGTCAACCCACAAGCACATGCTTGTGAAGAGTGAGGGTAATTATGTGGACAGATTCACCCCTAGCAGCAGAGAACAACAACAAAAAAAATGCTTACATTTCATGCTATGCTCAGGAAATTTAAAGACATTCTAATTACTGATGTTCTGCTTTATTTCAGAAACAAGACAAACTAGATATTGGAAAGAAAAAGAAAGAAGAAAAATAAGGATAATACTGTATAATGGAAACAGGAGTCAAGCTCCTACAAAAATACATACCAAAAAGACCTATGGACTTGCAGGGGATGCCGGGAGAGGGGGGTACAAATTTAGCTCAAAACTGGCTGGCAGTCAATGGAAGAGGAAAAGCTGATCAGTTATATAATTCAGTGTCCAGAAGATAGAATATCTCAGTGGTCTTCAGATAAAAGGAATTGTCACTAAATAATGTCCCCTCTCCTCACAAATCAATTTTTTCCAACTGTGACAGAAGGCAGAAGAGGGGTGAGCCCTGTTCTTCACAAAACAGGATATAGGATGAGTGAAAAGAATATGGCTTTGTCCTCTACAGGTGATCCCAGTTGCTATAAGGATTAAATCATCCTGTGTTTGTAGAGTGCTTGGTAGGATCTGATCCCTGGCAGAGGCTCAACAAATGGTAGCCCCAAAATTACAAAGATGAAGATGGAGGAGATGAAGATGGAGAGGAGGAGGCAGGGAGGGAAGAGGAAACCACTTTGAGACTCAGTTCCAGCTCATTACTCAAGTAATCTTGGCGAAATCACCATGTGTCTGAGCCTCACCTACAAAAAGGGGACAGTGTGATTTATTTCATAGGTTTACCATGAGAATTAAATGGATATAATATGTGTGCAAAATTTTTTACACGAAGGAACTTCTTCCAAGTAGGGAACCACTGATTCACACTCCGTGACAGTTCCCAGAGAGCCACACAGCGGAGCCACAGTGAATGTGTTCTCTCAGTGACGAAGGGAAGCTGAGGAAAGCTCTCTCCCCCACTGCACACTCTGCTCTAGTCCTGGGTGTTTCCTGCCACCTGAAGCTCTTCATACCTTCTGCTTTCAACAGTCTTGTCCCACGGCTACCCTTCACCCAGACGTACTTACCCATCCTTCAGGGCCCAGTCCAGACTGCCCTTCCCCCTGAAGGCTTCCCTGGCCTTCCTGATTGGGCTCCACGAATTCCAAAACTGCCCAGTTTGTCTCTGGTGACGACAATGACTTACAATATTCCATTTCTTGTCCAGACCCTTCCACCGGACTGTAAACTCCTTGAAGGCAGGGAATGCATTTCTTCTTTGTTACTGTAGCTGCAACATGTGGCCATGCACTAGCACAAAGAAGATATTCTTTAAATATTCACTGAATTGTCAGATAATGAAAGTGGATTCAGAACAGAGGACTGGTCACACGGTTCTTCCCTTTTCTTCTTGTTAGGGTGCTACGATGCTTAACTGACTGTCATTCTTTCTTGCACTCAAGTTGTAGATCCACATCCTCAACTGGAATTATCAAGGGCTAGAAATTACAGTTAAATCTGTGCTCATTCAGGTTTCAAAGTCATCTTCTAAAAAGCTTAGCAACATAAGAGAAAATGAGTTCAGATTTGAGGTTTTCTTCATCCAAGAGCATTTAGAAGGGTTCAATACATCAGTTCAGCAAACATTTATCTTGAACCAAGTCCTTTTTCTCTAGGCTTTTTACAACTTTGTACAGTTCAAAAGGAATGTAATCCCTTATATTCTCCATTTGTTCATAAATCATTAATATGCTGGTTTGAATGAGCTTTTAAAGATGAAAAAAAATCGCCCTCCCATTGAAGTTGCTGAAAGCAGCTTTTCCTCTTATATATGGAGGTCATTTTTATTTTTTTTTTTACAGAAGAGAAGCCTAAATATATCAAGATATTGTTGCCTGCGAATCTGAATTTGATTAAATACATGTTCCTATTATTTATCTCTATTTTCAGGATATACCTAACATTGCAGTGGGCCATTCCAAACCACTCAGCAAGTCAGATATCAAAGCTTTCAGACAACAGTGAAATTTTCAGCAAAAAGTGAAAAGGAGTCAATGTTTTGGTCATCTACAGCAACAAAGAGCTGTTCAGTGGAAAAATAAAATCACTTGGGCTACTCAGTACAGCTAACACCCAGCATGTGACCTTTCTTCACGGCCTTAGAACTATCTTCTGCATCACAAGTGCTGCCAGAACTGAATAGAGAGACTTTAAAACAAGGCTGCTCACAGACAATAAGCCATTATCCTCTAGGACTTAGCCTCCTGGCTGTCAGCCAACCTTATATTTGGATACTCCTGGAAGGATAAAATATGACAGTTAATTGGTTCATGAGAGAAGAGCAAAATATCTTAAACAAAAATACAGCTCATGCCAGTCAAATGCTACAGGAAGTGTTTTCTCAGGAAGTCACGTCAGCAGCCTTAGACAGAAGCAGAATGCCCTGAATAACAGCTAATGGTGTAGCCCCCCCCGGAATCCTCTCTCACCCCTTCCTTCCTAGCTGTGAACATGTACATTTCCTTCCACGGAGTCAATCTTTCAGGTGTCCCCAGACCACTGCAGTTGATAGTCAAGAGATCCAATCTAATATTTCTATAAGAAATTCCCACACACCTTACTCCCAACCCATGCTAAATTGGCCTATCTCATGTGGACACCATCTGTAAAAGCCTCCGGTGTCAAATGATTCGATTCAGTAGTTTTCAACCACGATTTCAGAGAGGCTGTAGCTTGTCCTGCATCACAGAGCAATGCTTATTAGTACAGCCAGGTGTGGAATTCAGGTCTGCTGGTCTCCGCCAAGGACTCTGTCCACCACCCCATGCTGACTCTTCTATGCCTATTTGCTATGAATCAGGAGCTAAATCACTATTCTGAAGTTGTATTTAAACACACACACACACACACACCTCTCTAAAGACTATCAACAGTTTGACTGATTAAGGAACAGCTTATACAATTTCCTGTACCTACCCAAAAGGAGTGGCGGGAAATGTCACCTGAATGGGAGGTGCTGTGAAAGAAGTTTCTAGAAGCAAAAGAAGGGACTCTTACCTGAAAGCTTGGTGATCCAATTAAACAGGAGAATCAGAGATTAAGCCAGAGGAAAACCCAGGTCATAAAGAATGTGAACAGTGTGCTCACTCAGAAGATCAAGGCACACACAACACAGGCGTGAGCAGTAAGGTCAGTGGAGACAAGGGTGAGACAATGGCTGGGGATCCTAAAATGACAAGTTCTGGACACTTGGTGGGGTGCTCTTTTGAGGAATGTCCCACGCATCTCACTGCTACTGCAGTGTTTCCCAATGCAGGGAGTCTGGTGCAAAGGTACTCAGTGGTCCTGACACACAGGAGCCGCCCTCTGTGGTCACATCTTGTCACTGTGATTCTTGATGAACGGCATGGTCTCTACATCAACGAGCCCCAACTGCAAGAGCTCCTGCCTCCAGTTAGCAGCTCAGGCCCAATGCTGTTCTCACTTAGCCCTTGTTTCCTCATCTACCGAGCAGACCCATATCCAAACTCCATGGAGACCAAGGCCATACACCAAGTCTGAGAACCACAGGCAGGATGGAGGTTACAACGGCCCAGCCAAGCATTTGGAGATGGGCTGAGATCTCAGCAGAACAAAAAGCCAGCTGAAAACAGCTAATGAGGATCTGCCTGCCGTGGCTGTTTAGGCTGGATGGATGAAGGGGCAGAGGCAGGGAAGGTATGCAGTGGGAGGTAGGGAGTGATCAGCGCAGTCGGCATGTTAAGAATGCAAAAAAGGAAAAAGAATTATTTATAGTCATTCTACTGTACACTTTCCAGAGAAATGTGAAGATCTAGCAAAGCTGCCTGTTCAAGTTATCCTCTGATCTGCAATCTGCAATAGAATGTTTTTTCAGTTTGAAGAATGTTCTTATTAGTTCAGAGAAACAAGATAATATGCTTAATTTTCTGTACTTCCAATGGCTCTAGTTAGTTCCACTAAAAAAAAAAAAAATGCTAAATGAACCCAGGGATACATTCTAGGGTTTTTCTCTTAAGTCCCTCTTGCCTCATCTGCAAAGCTAAGGCACTGGCTCCAAAGACAGCTCTGTTCTCTCCTCCCCTAACGAGCCATAAATCTGGGAATACAGTCGGGTTCAGCCCGAGTACGTCTTTTCATAGGGATTTTATCTATCTTACTCCCATAACAAGCACACGCCCTAGATGAGAAAACTATGCTGAAAAAAAAAAAAAGGAAAACAAGCCTCTGTCAGCACAATATACGGGTGTGGTGAAAATAAGCAACTAGACTGTGTGCAAGTCAAAAAAAAAAGATTAGAAAAAAAGATTCTGATAAACGGCTCATGCTCGCAGAACGTGGATAAGAAAGGGAGTGTATAAAATATTCCATAAATTCAGAACTGTTATAGCATAAGTCAGACAGGGTAGGAAAAGAAGAAAAATAAAATAAGAGAAGGTAAAAAGATGCTCTTAGAGTGACTGTACCATAAAATATTGTTCATGCCTTACAGCAATTGATACCAACTCTACATTTCCGTTTGGGTGGTTTTAAACTTTTCCCAACCCCATAAGCTACGGCCAAATCACATTATGTTTCGTTCCTCTCACCCCAAAATGAAATCTCACACTATCCTGGAATGTATGGTTTGCATCTGAGGAAACTTCGAGTCATCTAATAATCAGATGAGATTTGAGTAAAATAAGAAAGGAAAAGAAACACCCCTCTTAATTACTGCCAGTCTAGACGCATAAAAAAGACAGTTGCCAAGAATGCTGAGACTTTCATAATCTCTACCACTTTCGTAAAAATTTCTCATCACTTATGTCAGAGTCGGGAAGTGAACACAAACTGCTTCTCACGTGGCTGAAGAATCACAGGTTCAAAGAAGTCAAGGAACCTGACACACAGCCGGAGACAGGGACTCAAGCTTGTGGCTCTAGGCTTCTCTAAGGCTGTGCGTCCTGGCTTGACTCTTGTTTAGAGCGAAATGCTAGACAGCAAAGCTCCCACAGGCAGTGTGCTGGCAGAAACCTGCTTCTGTCGGGGGGTGAATGTGTTGAACCCCAATTGCTAAGAATAGCGCAAAGCACCTTGGAAGGAGTGATGGTTTCTAAAGAAACCCCCACTTGCGGAGTGCTCCTTCTCCTCGGCCCATCTGTCCCTCTGAATCTCGGGTAACACATCAGAGATTGTGCGATACACGGAAACATATTGAATGCATTATAACATGTCAGCGACGTCTCCTCTCAGATTTCCATTAAAAGCTCCCAGCTATGCCAGAACTTGCTCCTTTCCAAATGAGGTACATTTCAACAAGTGAGATGAGGGACAGAACTTGAAGAACGCCTGAGGAAGTGGGAGAGCTGCAGAAGGAGGGGACAACTTGCCAAAAACAAAAAGCAAAAACAAAAACAAAAAAACCCAGGCATGTCAGGAGAAAGGATGCATTCCTCCTATGATAAACTATCTTTTAAGGCCTAAAACCTGTGATGTACAACTTCCAAGTCATGTCACTTTCCGAACTTCTTTTTCTAAACGAGATAGCGAAGTTCAGAGGACCAAGCAGCAGCCAGAAGTGAGTCTATGTGGGTATCCACGGGTGTAGATGTAAAGTTTATGGGTGCTCCTGTGATGGTAGGAGACCTGTCTGTTGGAGGAATTGTAATGATTCTAAAGGTGTTTATTTCCAAGTCTTTTTCAGACTAAAACCTAATGGCCTCAGAGTTTTATGATACATAGTCAAGCTTCAGGGAAGGCTTTTTCAACAACTAGGAAGCTTTTCATTTACTGACTTCCCACTCTGTCTTAGACACAATGGGAGGGACTAGAGATACAGCAGAGTAGCTAACCCACTCTCATCTCTAATTCTCTAGCTAACCTCAGCGCTTACTACTTGGAATCCTTGCAAGGTCTGAACAGATCTGTGACAACCAAACTGCCAGAAAAGAAAGGTAACAAAAACTATGGGCACCAATCCTCCTCCCATTCACCTGTCATGGCCTCTTGCCACTAATGCCTTAGGAAGGAATGACTGACCCCTGGTTACTGCTGGGTTTCGACCTTGCTCGGTCTTACTCTCTCTTTGGCTCACGAAGACTGTTCCTTCCCACATACCGGGCACTGTGATTTGCTTCCGCACAACCGATATTCAACAAATACAATGTATGACACAAAAGTAAATGATACTACAGAAATAGAAATGGTAATTTCTTATGGTGGAGATATGATGTAGTCATGTTGTGCTCAAATTTTTCTAATTGTCCTTTATTTTGGACAGTACACTATTACTATTAAAAGAAATGCATGTGGTGTGCTGTTATACGAGCAATCCTTTGTTACTCTGGACTTCCCCACTCCACTTATTTGATGTTCCTTTACCCTCTTCCTTCATCCTCTAATTCTGTGCCTTTGTACTGGAGATTCCACAGTGCACATCTGAGCATATCAGCACATGTGTGTCCCTAAGAAAGAGGGCATTAGGATGGAGGACAGACCCCAGAATCTCCCACTCCTAATCGCCCAAAACTCTGCTGGATTTCTCAGCCCAGGGATCATGTCTCGTTCATTTCTGGGCCTTCAGTGCCTCGCTCGATGCCTAGAATACTTATAACTGACATTAAAACTTGTTGGGAGATAATTATAATTTAATGTTGTTGACAAAAGTATTTGTACCTAATGTGACTTCACCAGGTCTCAGACCTTGAGTCCGTCACACAATAAAGCCCTCTCGAACCCAGACCATCCCAGATTAACAGACCTGTAAGGGTCTTGATAACCAAATGTACTGTGTAGGCCTTGTTTGTATCTTGAGTCAAGCAAGCTCTTCAAAAGCCATTTGGGGGCACCTGGGGACATTTCAATATAGGTGAAATACATCAAAAAAGATATCGCTGGTGGGATAACACTGTGGGTATACATGAGTCCAGCTGTATTACAATTCTAGGAACGGAAACTACTGTCTAGTTGCAGAAGGGATAGTCGTTGCTCCCCAGGGGTGGGGACTGGTAAGATGACTGGGTAGGAGAACAAAGGAAAACAAACTTGGAGGTGTTGGGTAGGTTCCTTATGTTGACTGTGGTCATGGTTCCAATACTGCAGGTATATGTCAAAATGTATCAGATAGCATACTTCATTTATGTACATTCTATTTCATGTCGATTACATACATCGCAATAAATTGTTTAAAAATAAAAAACACTGTGGTTATATAAGAAAACATGCTTTCTAACTTTCTAATCAAATTATTTAGGGGTTCAAATGCCATGATTTCTGAGATTTGCTCTAAAACACTTCAACCAAGAAACAGTGGAAATCTAAATTGATGGGTATATGAGGGGGTCACTGTACTAGTCTCTTTACTTTTATGCCTGCTTGTAATTTTTCTTAACAATTTCACATGAATGCAAATCAATCATTGCACTAGGACAAAATGTTCTGCTTTTACTTACAAAAGTGCTATTTACATATATGACGTGTTTTTTTTTGAAGTATGGTCAATTACAATGTGTGAGTCTACAATGTGTACAGCACTATATCCCAGTCATGCATACATATACATATATTCATTTTCGTATTTTTTCCATTAAAGGTTATTACAAGATACTGAACATAGTTCCCTGTGCTATATAAAAGAAACTTTTAAAAAATCTATTTCTATATATAGTGGCTAACATTTGTAAATCTCAAACTCCCAAATTTGTCCCCTCCCACCCCCTTTGCCCGGTAACTGTAAGATTGTTTACTAAGTCTGCGAGTCTCTTTCTGTTTTGTAGATGAGTTCATAGCACCCACCCCCCTTTTTTTTAAAGATATCACATATGATCCGATACTGATGTACACATAGTCTCACATAGTCTCTAAGAAGAGACTTACATTTCCGGATATTTCATATACAAGTTCTTTGAAATGAATCATTTCAATATTTGGAACAACAGAAAGTGTTTTTAGCATATACTAAAACATAAAACTTGCACAATCCCACTGCAAGGATGCCTACTGCAGTCTTCATTCATGTCAGTGGTCAACACCAATGACTTCACACAGCTGCACAAGCAAATTCACTCCCCCTCCACCCCCAAAAATCATCACATACCAGTCACTCAGGAAGCTGTTTGCTATTGCTTACCACTAGAACTTTGTGCACTGCCTTCATTTAATTTAACAAACATTCAGGACCTCATCATGAACCAGACACTATTCTGTGCCCTTTCCAAATCTTAACTCATTTTATAACTAATAACAACCTTTGAGGCAGATGCTATCATTATTTCCCATATTACAGATGGAGAAACGGAAGTACAGAGGGGATAAATATCACAATTTTAAGTGGCAGTGCTGACATTTGGATCTAGACAGTCTGGCTTCCAGAGTCAGCTCTCAACCACCATGACGTGGAGCCTGCCTGTTCTAGCGATTAAAGCAAAAGAGTCATCGATGTGATACTTTTTAAATAATAGTGACAAATTAAATTATCCATTCCTAGTACTTTATAATAATTTTCTAAACATCCATGAACTGTAGTGAACATGACACCAGCAGTATCTGAATCAAGCACCCTGGGACGGGATCAGATGACCTGGGGAGAACATAACTGACTCAGGTGGGACTTTTCTCCAGGGCTCGCCAACCCCAGAAGCACCTTTGCGTTCACGCCTGCCCCTTTCTTTCCAGGCAGCTTCCACTTCCCTTTCCCACCAGGGAACTCCCATTTTGAGAGCCCACTCCTTCATCATTGCCTCTGAACACCTGAGCCCAGCTTGGACTGGAGGCCTTAGTCTCCCCTCCCTCTGTCTGTCTGCAGTTCTGTTTCCCCATTATATCCTGTCTCACACGGCACTGCAGACGGTTTTCCACCCACGTCTCACAGTAGATGAGGCTATCTGCAGGAAGAGAAATTGTCTTCACCTTGTCACTAGCAGCACCTAGTCAGTCTGAGACCATCCTTGGCAAATATTTGTTCACGGTATCTTACAGTACCTCAGGGTCATCAGGGACCGTGCCGACACCTCTGCTCCATCACTTTAGATCTGTGACTAGGACTCCATGGATCAGTCTCATCGTCACCATCAGGCTATAAACCCTTTGGGGGCAGGAAGGATGGCATGTCCTGTTTGTATCTCACCACACCTACTGCAGTGCTGTGCTCATGGTTGATGTTCAGTGACAAATGACTATCAACATTATCATTCTCTGCTACGAGACAATGTGTGGAAACGCCAAAGACTGAAGTTCCAGTTGATGGAATGACAGATAGACCAAGTATTTGTGATACTGCTTTCCCCCCAAATATGAGATGTTTAGCCCAAGAATGGGTCCCAAGCCTCTGGGAGATGGTCTGCAGCCACCTTGGTGCCTCTGCTTCCTGTGACTGCCCATTAGAATTCCTTCAGTTGAGTTAAGGTGAAAGTCTACAAGTGTAAGAAGTAGCCTTTTTCTTCATGAGAATGCAACCACATAAAAATAAGCACAGAAGATGATTCTGGAGGATGATGGCACCAAAATCTAAGATTGTGTGGAAACTACATAAAGGCAGCTACAATAAGATTGGGTTCAAATCAAGCATGTCAAATCCTAACCACTGTCTAAAATCAAGTCTGGTCATTTCTTGGTTCTTAGGAAGATCTGAGCTCAAGGTACAGCAGAACAGAAAGCAAAGTGGGAATGGAGGGATCCTAATTCACTGAGGCTATGTTAAGTCCAGAGTGAATGGTAGGTTAGAGAAAACGTGTGTTTTCTGATAAACACCAGAAGCCTCTAACATCCTCCCATTCCTGAAAAAATCAAGAAATGCTTTACTTTATAAAGAAAAAGCCTTGAAGAGAAAACATCACAGCAATTTATATCAGAACTTGACTTTGTAATAAATAATTCAAAAATGCTTTTCAATTTAAAAATATATGTTAAAACACTGTCTGTGACTACAGACCCATGCTGTCCAATACAGCAGCCACCATGCATAAGAAATGTGGCCAGTCCAAACTGAGATGTGCTGTAAGTGTAAAACACACATCAGAATTTACCAGTTTGGTTTTTAAAAATGTCAAATAGCTCATTAATAATTTTCATCCTGATTGCATATTGAATATATTAGGTTAAATAAAATACATTATTAAAATTTATTTCACTTCTTTATTTTTACTTTATTTAATTTTGGGGGGGGGGAGGATATCAGGTTTATTTAGTTTTTACAGGAGGTGCTGGGGAATGAACCCAGGACCTTGTGCTTGCTAAGCACATGCTCTACCACTTAAGCTATACTCAACGTCACCTTTATTTTTCCTTTTTTAACATGGTTACCGCAACTTTTTTTTATTGAAGTATAGCCAGTTTACCGTGTTGTGTGAATTTCTGGTGTACAGTATATTTCACTCATATATATAAACATATTTATTTTCATATGCTTTTTCATTATAGGTTACTACAAGATTTTGAATATAGTTCCCTGTCTGTACAGTATAAACTTGTGGTCTATTTTATACATAGTAGTTAGTATCTGCAAATCTCAAACTCCCAATTTGTAGCACTTAAAAGTTATAAACGGCTCAAGGTGTAGCTTGTATACAAGTAGACTGGATAGTATTAGCACAGACAACCAGACAGCAGAAGCCCAGTAAGACACAGCTCGTGCTGTAGATCAAACCATCTTCCTCAGAACCCACGTGCAGCTAGAAAAAGTCTAGGAGTGGCTTTCAGAGCCAAGCAGAAACAGAACTAAGATGATAGAGAGGAGAAGCATGGGTGATACAAAAGGACAGAAAATACCAAAACCGTAACTTTCTGACCCTAGAAATCAGAGACATGAAGCTCATTGGAAACCCCTGCTTAGACAGAAACCATCTTCTCTCAGCTCAACTCTCCATACTCAGCTCCCTGAGAAGATCCTCCAGGGTACCCCTCCTGGTAACGGTGCTCCTGAGGCACTAAGCAGAATAGAGCTTGGTAATGGGAGACAGACATTCCTTCTACTACTATAGTTAGGTAGTTACCGAAGGTCATTAACACCTGATGCAAATTTCCAGGTGCTCTCTATGGAAGGAATGGTAGTCTTTGGTCCTTTCAAATGAGTAGGTATAATTTATTTCTTGTTTCCATTAGAAAGCACAAGAAGGGAGGCTCCAAAGGGAGGAATACTTACGAATTGGAAAGCGATTATCTTTTTCCTCCAACTTCCAAGACGCGGAGGAAAATTCATTGATGAGTATTTATTAGCTAATGATGAAAGAGCACTTCAAAAATGAAAATGGCTCAGAAATGCACTGCATTATCCTGATTGCAGAAAATGGAGACGAAAGAGAAGGGCGCTCTATAAAGTGTTCTCTGCAATTGGCTCTGTCTCTCACGAGCCTCTCGGATTCCTTTGTCCCTCCCACGATAATAACTTGTCTTCATAGCCATAGCCAAGAACACATTCTTTGTTTGGTTATATAAGCTTCTAAAAATAGCGATTTATCATGGAAATGCTAAATGACCCCTGAAGATAGTGTTTTGATGGGCTATTAAGTTATTGCAGTGTCTATTTTTCTGTTACATATTATAATTAAAGATAAAAATCATTTCTGATGCTTTTCAAACCTTCAAAGTTTATCAGTTTCACGCTTTGGGCATTTTTATCTTAAAAAACATGAAGAAAGGTTTCCCGTGGTCAAAGAAGTTTTACCACAGACATGGAGATGAATTTTCTCCTCATTATTGAGATCTAATGGGAAAAAAAAGGCTAATTCAAAGTGTAATTTATTTTTTTCTGTCTGTCTAGCTAGGTTTGATAAGTGAATTCCAAGTAGAAGGATCGGAGAAGTTAGCTGGCAGAAGATTTAAAGGAAATCTAATAATGCATTTCTTATTTCTTGAAACTAGAAATTTAAAACTGAAAGAGTACCGACAAATGATCTAGTTGAGTCTTCCTAAGATCAGAGAGGTTAAGATGCCTGCCAATGTTACACAGCAAGACCAGTTCAATGTCCTCCGTCCTCCATGACATGCTGTCATTCTCCTTGACACCAAGTGAATAAAAGAAGGAGTAAGTGCAAGAAGTGACTCAAACAGAACTGGAGTCCTTGAGGGGGGACAAAAAACCATGGTGTTCAGATGGGGCTAAGAAAGGCAGAAAAGTAAAATGCAGGAAAGCAGACTGTGTTCACAAACTCACCAAATGACCAAGACTACACAGAGAGCCAGGAAGGCGTCCCATACAATCAACTTATTTAGGTGGTTTTCTTCTTCCATAGTATTTTTTAAAACTGCACATACCATAAAACTATTAACCATTAACCATTCTAAGGTGAACAATTCGGTGGTATTTGGTACATTCACAATGCTATGCAATCATCACCTCTGTCTAGTTCTAAAATGTTGATATCATCCCCAAAGAAAACCCCATACCCATTATCCATACCTCCTCCCCTCAGCCCCTGGCAACCATCAATCTGTTTTCTGTTTCTATGGATTTACCTATTCTGGATATTTTATATAAATGGAACCATACAGGAGGCAAGCTTTTGCCACTGACTTCTTCCACTTAGCATAATGTTTTCCAGGTTTGTCCACACTGTAGCACGTATCAGTATCACATTTCTTTTTATGGCTGCATAATACTCCCTTCTACGTATATACCACAGTTTCATCAACTCCTTATGCGTGTATCAAGTACTTACGGTAATTTTTGGTCTTCAGTACTTGCTGAACTCCCTACCATCAGTGAACACACTCTTAAGAGTCCTCACCCAGAAGCCAGTCATCATCTGTCCAACAAAATGGAAAGCTGTTCTAAAATTGCACTAAGTCACTACAACAACTCTTTGTAGAAGCTTGTTATAGTCTGTGATGCATTTTGAACAAAAACCCTGTGAACTGAGTCCTATTACTGACATCTGTATTTTGCAGGTGAGGAAACTGAGAAGTAAAGAGCTTAAGTAGCTGTGCAGCGTCAGAGTCAGTAAATAGCAGAATCAGGATGGGGCCCCTTCCCTTTCCACTCACCCCAGCATCAGCGTCCACACCAACCCCATTACTACTCACTACATTGAGTACGAAATATTTCTGCTGAATAAATTTGCAAGAAAAGTTCTCACATTCAGGACAAGAAAAGCCTCAAGTCATAGCAAACATATGTTTGTAAGTCAGTCCTTGTAATTCATAAAGAATTTTCCCAAATCAACAATTGTATAAGGGGTTTGTAGATTTCCCTATTAGCCCACCAAAAAGCTAGCCCACCATGTGGCAGACCTACATTGTTAGCACATTAGTAGACTGAAGACATGTGTGTTCTGTTATTTTTATTAGAAAACACATTCTAATTTGAGAAGGGAGATGTCTGAAACCCAGCATCCCCTCCTGGCAGTGGTTCCTCCTGCATCCTGCCCAGCCCAGCCCGCACCCCTGTGCGCCAGTAACTCTGGAATCTCCTGGAGCAGCGAGATGGAACCCTATTGGTGAAGGGGCTTAAACTAAAGAGGTTCCCAGGTGAACCTCCATGGAGGAACAGGGGTGGATATGAGGGTGAACAAACCCTCAGAGCAAAGCGGCAGGATATTTAGAAAGTGTGGCAGGAGGTGGAAGAGAGAAGGGACAAGGTTTGGGTTTGATATTTAGTGGTGAGCTGTAGGCTGATTCCAAGACACAGCCCCAAATACGTTTTAGTGTTAAATACTGACATTCTGGATGCCGGGATGCCGCTGTGATAGCACAGATAACTGAAATAATACCGACTGCACAGACATTTTAAGAACTCAAGATAACACAGGATACATTCTTTCCTGTACAGCACTTTCGAATTTACAAAACAGTCTACCACTGGCTGTTGCTGGAGGTCCTCACAACGGCCCTGTGAGTTAGGATCGATGTTCATCTACCCATTTTACTGATGCAAAAATGGATCGTGATGGTTAAATGCTATGGCCACACAATTTACACTGTGGAAACAGGGCCCAAAACTCAGGCTCTTCAAATCTCGAAGTCCTGTGTTTTCTCTGAAACACCATGCTGCCTCAGGCTGACCTCTAGGAAGGCACCAGTATCCCAGATCAGCTTGCAAAACAGGAAAGGAGTGAAGAAATAAAAATTGCTCCAGGCGGGAGAAGCAGCAAAACACATGGCACACTGCTGATGTGGAAGCAAACAGGACTTTTCTCCCAAGCAGTTCTTATTTTGTATCGTACTCACCCGTCTCCAAAATCCTAAGGCCTGAGATAAAGGTTGCCTCAGAGACGGCGGGGATGTAGCCTGCAGACTCTAAAGGCAGAGGACATGTTCCTTTTCAAAGTCCAGATATTTTTAAATCAAAATAACTTGAGTCATTCCAGGGATCATCACAGCTACGTTTGATCCCTACACACTGGACGTGTTTATTTCTCTCCAAGATTATGCTCTTTTCTTTAAAGACAAGCACTTACTCAGGATAGAAATCTCTTCGATAATACTGTCACACTATGTATCTAAGAATCAAGTCTGGGGGCTCTTTACTGAGGCTCTGAGGCTCTTTTAGGCTCTGAAGGAGACACAGAGATGGCTTATCTGGCCACCAGGCAAGATGCAGTGGGCTGCTCTTCCCCAGAGTGAAACGGTTCCAGGTAGACTAGGTCCAAGTTGTGAAGGACCCGCCAGCCCACCGCCGCCGCCATCTTGCTCTCCTGCTGACACCCCAGAAGCCCCTCGCACAACATGCCGTGGAAAAGGGAGCGGTCCTTCAAATGCCAGGGACTTACAGGCATGAACTCCACTAGTCAGCCTCACCTGACACCCAGCCCAGGCAGGGTCCATCGTAAGTGATGGTAATATATGAAGGGGTGATGATTTATTTTACTTTATCCCCTATAGAGAGTGACAAAGAATCTGCTGGGGTGGGGCTGGAGGTTGGTATATGGGAAGGAGGGAGCAAACAGCCACTAGGAAATGTCTTACCGTTCTTACTCGAGATGGACTGACCCTGGGCGTAAATCATAGGAGTGGGAGCTTAGAAGTCTGCATGTTTGGGTCACTTCAGATTCATCCCATTAGTGTCCTTCTAAGAGGTGGCCAAATCGGACTCTTGTGCCTCTCACCCCCCAGCTTCTGCTGTCCAGGGGGTGATCGTGGTAGCGCTGTGCCCCCCACTCCTGGGCTACCATGTACTACAACCTGAACCAGGAACTCGAAACTAGACTTGAATCCTGTATTTTCTATTTATCAGCCATGTGACCTTAGCTCGGCAGCAAGCTGGGTAATAACCAACCAGCATTTCGCCAACTACGTACTAAAAATAATAAGCCCTCCTCTTAGCATTATTATGGAAATAAGACAGAGTACATGAAAAAAATTGTGAACACCTTAAAATGCCCTTCGCCTATAACTTACCTACTCACTTAACAAAGGTGAGTCACCATCGAGGCGAAAACAGTAAATAACCGACATCCTTCCCTGTATAAGTTTATAATCAGATTTTCTAAGATGACATAAGCTGCTTCCACAGGAAAAATAAATAAAGTGGGCATTCAAACAGTTATCTGATAAAATCAGATCATGAAAAGGGTAACTCAGAACGTTCCAGGCATGGAGAGAAAGGGAGGTTTATGTCAAAGCGGTTCGATTTAATATCTCACATGTCAGTCACTGTACTCACAGCTCCAGGACTGACACGGGAGTGCCCTGTTGTCGAAAATCCCATAATGAAGACGAGAATATGACTTCACTAGTCGCCCCCCTGCCCCTGGAAGAGTTTTCCATCATTTCATTAAAAAGAGGAAAAAAAAAAAAAACCTACCACATCCTGCTCAATATGGTGACTGGCTCCTGAACCGCCAAGATGTTATTTTCAAACACATTCTTCCCTTGCTTTTCCATCCCCGGGGGGCCCTGCTATAATTCCTGGCCTTCTGAAACCCCGTGGCTGCAGCCTCCATCTCACTGAGCAGATTTTCAAACAAAGTCTCCTCGCTGCTGCGGGCACAGACCTGCCCTCCAGGGCTGCAGGCGTGCCTGTCGGGGGTTCCGGGGCTGAATTTATTTCCCACATCTTGGACACAGTGCTTTCTCGCCTCCCTCTCTCCCTCCCCTCCCCCTTCATTCCTAAATCCTACAGCCCTGACAGAAATAAATTAGCCAGAGGTACAGGTCACACCTTGGAGAGCAGTAAACGTTCTGTGGGAAATCAATAGAGAAGATGGGATTCTCAAACAGCTGAAGCAGAAGGAATGATGCATTGATGGCTATACATAAACCAAACAAAGGAGCCTGAGAACAGCCTTCCAGGGAGGGGCCGGTGCCCTCGGGTTCAAGGATCCCAGCACCTGAACCCAGGATTGCACCACTGCCCAGACGCTTCCCAGACACCTGTGCGGCTGGA